CAACTGACTGTCTGAAGTAAGTTCTTCTATTTCTGGTTAATGGATTTTTGACAAGTGTACCAAGACTACTCAGTAGAGAAAGAAAATTCTTTTTAACAAATCATGCTGGAACAACCTTATATCCAAATGCAACAGAATGAACTTGGACAATCTCCCACACACCTACTAAAAAATTAGTTCAAATGGATTATAGACATGCATATAAAAGCTACAATTATCACACTCTTTGAAGAAACATCAGAGTAAATTTTTGTGATCATACACTAGGCAATGATTTATTAGATATGACTCCAAAAGCACAAGCAACAAAAGTAAAAAGAGACAAATTGAATTTATTCAAAATTAAAACTTTTATACTTGAAACACCACCAACAAAAAAAGTGATAAGACAATTTGCAGAATGGTAGGAAATACTTGGTGTTCATATACCTGATAAGGCACTTCTATACGGAATATGTAAAAGACTCATAACTCCCCAATAAAAAGACAGTCCAATTTTATTTTTTTAATTATTTTTTTATTCATATGTGCATACAATGTTTGGGTCATTTCTTCCCCCCACCCCCTTCCTTACCACCCCCCACCCCCTTAATACCCAGCAGAAACTATTTTGCCTTTATCTCTAATTTTGTTGAAGAGAGAGTATAAGCCATAATAGGAAGGAACAAGGGTTTTTGCTGGTTGAGACAAGGATAGCTATACAGGGCATTAACTCACATTGATTTCCTGTGCGTGTGTGTTACCTTCTAGGTTAATTCTTCTCGAACTAACCTTTTCTCTGGTTCATGGTCCCTTTTCCTATGGCCTCAGTTGCTTTAAAGTATCTGCTTTAGTTTCTCTGCGTTGAGGGCAACAAACGCTAACTAATTTTTTAAGTGTCTTACCTATCCTCACCCCTCCCTTGTGTGCTCTTGCTTTTATCTTGTGATCAAAGTCCAATCCCCTTGTTGTGTTTGCCCTTGATCTAATGTCCACATATGAGGGAGAACATACGATTTTTGGTCTTTTGAGCCAGGCTAACCTCACTCAGAATGGTGTTCTCCAATTCCATCCATTTACCAGCGAATGATAACATTTCGTTCTTCTTCATGGCCGCATAAAATTCCATTGTGTATAGATACATTTTCTTGATCCATTCGTCAGTAGTGGGGCATCTTGGCTGTTTCCATAACTTGGCTATTGTGAATAGCGCTGCAATAAACATGGGTGTGCAGATGCCTCTGGAGTAACCTGTGTCACAGTCTTTTGGGTATATCCCCAAGAGTGGTAGACAATCTGATTTTAAAATGGCAAATATTTGAGTAGACTTTCTCCAGAGAAGATAGACAAGTGGCTAAAAGGTTAGGTATGGTGACTTACAACTATAATCCCAGGACTCAGGAGATTGAGGCAGGAAGGTTGAGAGTTCAAGTCCAGCTTGTGCTATGTAGTGAGACTCTATTTCAGAAAATCAAAAAATATATAAATGAACAAATAAATAAATTAGTAAATGAATAAAGCATGTGAAAAGACACTTAGCATCATTAGTTATTAGGGTGATAGAAATGAAAACATTAATGAGATTCCATTTCATACACACTAGGATGGCTAAATCAGAGTGGTGGATAATAACAATGCTAGCAAGGATTGAAGAAATTGGACCCTCATATATTGGTGGTCAGAATGTTTTTACCTGCAATAATGCTGCCATTTAGAAAGCATTTGGACAGTACCTCCAAATGTTCAACATAGAATTACCATCTGATTCAGCAATTCCAAGAAAAATGGAAACGTGTCCACATACACAAATGTTTATAGCAGCATTTTTCATACCAGAAAAATAATCCAAATTTCCATCAGTTAGTGAATGGTTAAACAAAATGTGGTACATTCGTATAATGAAATATTACTCTGTAACAATAAGAAATGAATTACTGATATTTATGTTATGAATGACTTTCAAAAACATCATGGTAAGTTCAAGAAGCCAGTCCCAAAGACCAGATATTGTGTGATTCAATTCAGATGAAATGTCCAGAATAAGCAAATCCATAGAGGAAGTAGTTGATGGTTGTCTAGGGCTGAGGGCCAGGTTGGAGGATCATGAGATATAATGGGTATAAAGTTTCTTTATGGGGATGATGAAAATATCCTAAAATTGGATTAAAGCGATGATTGCACATCTCTGTGAATATGCTAAAAACTATTGACTCGTGTACCTTAAATGCCTAAATAGAGCTGTTTTTAAGACGGAGGACTGGGGGAGGTGCTCAGTGGGAGAGCACCTGCCTCCTAGGAGTCTATCTGAGTGAAATGAAATAAAGTTCACATATTTTTTGCAAGTATTCTTTTTAGTATTATTCATATTAGCCCCAAACTGGAAACCAAGTATCTGCTTATCAACTGATGAATGGATACACAAAGTGTGGTATATCCATGCCGTGAACACTACCCCACAATAAAAGGGAATTATTTTATGATTCAGACACAATGTAGATGACCCTCAGAAATATGCCCAATGAAATAGTCATGCACAATATGGCTTAATGTCCAGAAAATGCAAATCTGTAACTCTGTAAAGGTTAAAAACAGAATGGTGAGATTGAGAAGGGAAGTGGGGATTGACTACAGATAGACATGCCAGGCATTTTGGGAGTGATGGAAATGATCTAAGAATGGATCACTGTGATGCTGCATGATTCTATAAATCTACCAAAAAATCATTTAATTAAACATCATGATGGGTGACTTTTATAATATTTCATCAATAAAACTCACTTGAAAATTTAAGAGTTTCTGTATCTCAAAAGACAATATTTAAAGAGTGAAAAGGCAAGCCACAGATTGGGATAAAATAGTCGCAAAACATATATTTGTAAAGGACTCCTGGCAACAATACATACACAAACTTTTTGAGTGGGCTGGCATTGAATCTCTAGCCTCCTGATTTCAGCCTCCCAAAGTAGCTAGGATTACAGGAGTGAGGTACTGGCTCCCGATGTGCTTGAGTTTTTGAGAGTGAAAGATAAACATTTTTGGTTTGGGGTTTGTTTGTTGTCTCCACTCTTATCCTAGCTTATTCTGACCCAAACAGGGAAGACACAAAATTGAGGTGAACAGTTGGGAGTGAGGAGACCTACTGGCTCCATTAGGAAATAAGGGAGGGAGATGAAGGCTTTCTATAGTACCAAGAAGAACGACAATGGGAAAACCGACAGAAGATTAGAGTTAGAAGAAAACTAGGCATTACTTTTAACCCTTTTAAGACTAAGAAGCTAGAACCAAGACACTAACAACGATGTCAAGGGCACATAACATGGTGAGGTGGAGACAGTCTTACAAGTAGAGTTTCTGAGATCCTGAATGGTCTCAGGGCCTTTGAATGTCAGCTGCTTTTGAAAGAAGTGAACATTTACTTGGGATCTTGTAAGATCCTGAACTTCTATATTTTTTGATAAAAGGCTTAGATGGGAACAACAGCTATCTCAGTCCAATTGGTTTTTAAATTTTTTTTGCTCCCAATTCTGAAGAAACAACACAATCACCTTCTTATATCTACTTTCCTGTCCTTCCACCGTGACAGTCTACCCAGCATGAATTGAAGTAGAAGGACCAGGAAACATCTTTTAAAGAAAAGTACTATTACTTTTTACTCTATTGCGCTCGAATTTTTTTTGGTGGTACTGGAGTCTGAACTCAGGACCTTGCGCTTGCTAGACAGACACTCTACCACTTGAGCCACGGCCCATGGCCCAGCCCTTTTTTGCTTTGGCTATTTTTCAGATAGGGTCTCTTGTTTTTACCAGGGGCCAGCCTAGACCCTGGGGATCCTCCTACCTATGCCTTCCAGTACTGGGTTGACAAGTATGTGCCACCATGCCCAGTTTTTCTGTTGAGACGGGATCTTGCTAACTTTTTTTTACCTGGGCTGGCCTTAATTCTCGATTCTCTTGACCTCTGTCTCCTCAGTAGCTGGGATTGTAGGTATTGAACCACCTGGCCTTGGATTATTTTTTAACGATTTGAATCACTTGTGTGGACAGAGTAGACAATAAGGAAATTATCCCTGTTGAGAAATTTGCTCCCCCATCTTTGATATTTTCTTCCTCCCCTATGGGTAAATAGAATAGGAAATAACATGGCATTGTTTGAATGAATGTCTAAAGAGTTCCTATCATCCTGCCACAAATTTATTCTTTGAATTTGTAAAATCCATGTCCACTCTGAGATACCCTATGATCTGAGTAATTTCCCCTTTATCACTCTCTTTTTTGTGTGTGGCAGTACTGGGTGACCTCAGGGCCTTATGCTTGCTAGGCAAGCACTCTGCGCCTTAAGTCACATCCCCAGCTCTTTGGCTTTTAGTTTGTTTTTCAGTTAGGTTCTCCCACTTTTGTCCAGGCCAGCCTTGGGTGTTGATCCTCCTATTTCTGCCTCCTGAATAACTAAGATTGTAGGCAAGTGCCAACATCCTGGCTTGTTTTCGAGGTAGGATCTTACTAACTTTTGTGTGGCCTAGCCTTGAACTATAATACCCTATCTCTGCCTCCTGAGTAGCTGAGATTATAAGTGTAAGCAACCATACCCAGCCCCATGTCCTTTTTTGTTATTGTTATTTTGTTTTTTGAGGCAGGGTCTCACGATACCTGGAACTCCCTATGTAGCCCAGGCTGGCCTTGATTTGTGATCCTTCTTCCTCAGCCTTCCAAGTGTTGGGATTAAAGGCATGTACAACCATACCCAGCTCCTCTTTGCATCTTGGGGTTTTGTTGGTAGTTGTTTGTCCTTACCTTCCATCCCCCCTCCATTTCTGAGGTATGACTGTTACTAAGATAGAAATCTCTGGATCCCTTTTCCAACTCCACTCTGACACTGGAGGTTAAGGGAGATCATTGTCACATCATCATTAGTCAGCCAATCAGGACGGCACCTCCCTTTGATGACCTCCCTATCCCACAGAAGTTCTCAGGCAGCTTCAATGGAGGAGGGAGCCAAGAAGAGGTCCTTGTTTAAGTCCAAAGATGATCATTACAACATGGATTGTGTACATTCTCACCCGGAAAAGTCTAGGGCTCCCCTTCCCACCCAGGAAGAACTCGGTAAGTAACTGTGAAGGTGGTCATGAGGAATTCTGCCTCATCTTTCTTCTCCCCTCTGCACCTTTGCTGCACTTCAAAAGGATCTAACAATGTATAAGTTTGGGTGAGAGTGGGTGGAAGGAGCTGGGTTTCTGGGTTTTCTGAAGTCATCAACTTACCAATTTATTCCAGGACATTGAAGTTGTGGAAAGTGAGGCTGTATCCATAGTACAGCATTGGTTAAAGAAAGTGAGTAAGATTCCTCTATGACTTGACTTCCAGAATTCTAGAGAGCTGTCTCAGTGCGGGTGGAGATCTGGACTTCCCTTCCCATGCACCTGGGAAACTCACGTTCATTACCAAACACCTCACTGCGAGTTAAGTCTAATTTACCCACACATCTAAGAGGATCGTCCTGCTTGTCAGGCATGATGGATGGAGTGTATCAAGCGGGTCTAAGGAATACCTTGGGAAAGGAACAACAGAGGGGCTTAGGGCAGGAACTGTGAGAGACAGTGTGTGTGCACAGACGTGGGGCATGTGTGTTGTGATGGAGAAGAGAGAGGGAAAGAAGGGAGGACTTGGGATCAGAGCAGAGCTACACTCTGAGGAAAGCACTCCCCTTTCAGACAGAAGAGGAGGCTTCCCAGGGCATAAAGGAGAAGATGTCCACCAACTCTCCCTGTCATGGCCAAGACATACATGTGACCAGAGATGTGGTACCTGAGGGCCTCCCTGGGAATGGGGGTGAGGGCTTGGGGAGAGGCAGGATGTCCCATGTGAGTGGGGGATGCTGGGCAAGGGCTCTGTCCACCCCAGGAAGGAAGATCAATGCTGACCAGTAATCATGCGGACCCTCACCCTGGTTTCCTAGGTGAAGCACCAGCTGTCAAAGTCTGATATGTTAGCAAACCAGAACCAAGAGGTCATGGAGGAGAGAACAAGAATCCAGTTCATAAGATGGAGGTACAATGTCCTGTTTGCCTTTCCCCAGGACCCCTGCTACACTTGCCCACAGCTACTCTTCTCTGGAGATGTCAGCCCCTTCAGCTGAGAAATTTTTCAGCCTTGCTTTGGGGTCTTATGGGAATGTTTTTGCTATCTTGAAAGCCCAGTTCATTCCTACATTTTTAAATGACTTGAGGGCTTGGGGAACTGGGCTTGTTCTCCATTTCCTAAATGGCTCTGAATACATTTCACATTTCTGTTATTTTTGCACTTGAATTGTTCAGAAGTGGCTGCACTTTGAAGAACTAAAAGAAAATAAGCTCTTAAAATGCAAAAGCCAAAGCCCTCATCCGCAACTGCGGTGTGTAGAGGTCTCTCAGAGCCTGAGGCTAGAATTCTGTGACAAAGCCACATGGAGGTTCTTGCCTGCTTTCCTCCCGCCATAGTGCAGCCCATCCCCAACCTTCTCTGGTGGAGTTTGCTGGGCTTGGAGTTGCCTCACTCCTCAGGCAGAGTCATCTTATTTCCTGTGAACCTGAGTTTACTGGGAGCTTTGGACCACAGCACTGTATCCTGTAATAAGAATGATCCAGGCAAGGGATGCAGGCTTAAACTGGTCCACATCAAACTGTGAAGGAGTGCTATCATTTCCTAGCTCTCATTCCCTGTCCTACCCCATCTTCTGTTCCTGTTCTCTCTTTAATCAAAGAATCTCAGAAGTGGATTTTTGCTTCTGGATACCAGGTGCTCATGTATTTAGCTTTTCTAGGGGCACTGAATTTTAGGAGGATTCAAATGTGCAGTAATTATAGAACAGAGAAGTATAACTAATTGTGGAATTTGAGAAAAGAAGTTTTTGGATGAGAAAACGATTCAAGGCCTCTCACATCATTAGTGTTGTTGATTGTAATCCGGACTTTTCCTTTCCTGACGTGGCGCATGGTGGAAGTGTAAATGTTGCAATGGTTTAGATCATACATACTTCTCCCAATATTGTTTAAACCTTGACTGTAGAGTTTAACTAGGTTTAGTTTTTGAGGGAGGCGACAGGAGTCGGTTAATTATCTACATCTAAATTTTCCACTTTGGATTTTCTATAGAGCTTTCAAACCAACAGCCTGTTGGTTGGGTGTCCTCTTGTAGTCAGGAGATACAAGTGAGTCCCTTTCTGAATTGGCACTGGCTGTTGATTCCACGTATGCCCACCTCCAGGTGTGTGCTGACCCCTCTGGAGGAGAGAAAGAGGAAGACAGCTTCCATCCAACTTCGAAGTCTTAAAATTAATCAGGTGGATGAGGATTGTGAAAGTTAAAGTGCTAGGGAAGCTCAAGGAGTATCTGAGAGTATAGCCCGGGGACCCAGGTGACACAAGTGCCCACCAGAAAAGGCTCCTAGTGGGCTGTTTGTTAAGACAGGCTCTTGGACTGGATATTACTGCAAACATGGGTCAGGGTGGAACCGAAGAGAACATCCAGGTGCCTCTGCTCCAATAGTATCACTGTTGTTACCTTCATTATTATTACTATGGCATTATCCAAAAAAGGGAAGTTTCCATAGACACGGAAGTGGACAGAGTATAGGGCCCCTGAGCGGAGGAGTGGGATATGGAATTGGAGAGGACACAAAGTGGCCCAGCACAGAGAAATAAAACAAACAACAGCCAGGAGGGCCCAGAGTTTCCTTGTGACAGAACTTTCTAGAAGCTTCTCTAAACTATAGTGAATATGACATGACACTGATCCTAAGAGCTGATAATGAAGCTAGAGAGGAATTCAGAAGGGGAGAGTTCCACAAGACCACTGCCCCACACATTTCCTGATTTTCCTTGGGACCATTTGCTCCCTGCTCACCCTGACTAGGTAGTCCTACATGAGAAGGGTGAAGGGAGGGCCAGCTCCAAAGTTCATGGTGACAAGGCAAGATCTATTGTTCCTAGGATCCCAAGTCTATGCATAGTCAAAGAGAAACTCAAAACCCTCATGTTTGAATGGCATTTTGCAGCCACACCCGTATCTTCCAAGTGCCAAGTGAGGTGATAGACGACGTCATGCAAGAGCGAATAGAGCAGGTGAGGCGGAGGTAAGTTGCGTGGGACAAGTTGCTTTGTATTCCTTACTGGGGGCAGGTGGGATGGGATGACTGCTAGGTTACCCAGCCTTATTCTCCTTGATGTTGGCTCTGATGTCAAGAGCAGGGGCACTCAGTTCCTGAGGTTGTGGTCCTCTCTGTGTTCCACATTACAAGTGGCTTCATTAGCCTCCCACTGTGCCTGCCAGCACACCAAAGGGCTGCAGGCTGAGGGTCTCTTCCTGGGACTCTGCTCCTGGGTCCACCTGTGGTGATGGCCCAGGCCTGGCCTGCCCACCAGCCCCTGCCCTTGTGCTGTGGGTGGGTATGGGGTCTGGGTAGGCTCTGCCATCATGCAGCCTCCCCATCTACCTCCTTTGTCCCCTGCAGCATATCCCACATCACGACTGACTCAGTTCCAAGCTGCAGATCTTCCTTCACAGACTGCTAAGCGTGACAGGTGAGAGAGTCAACAGACGAGGGCCTGGGCATGTTCCCTGGCTATCCTGGTCAGGGAGAAGGAGTACTGGGGTGGGGAGCCTGATGCCTGGGTTAGGGGCCTGCCCTTGGGATCACTGGGAGCAGAGCACTACCTTGGGCTCCTGCAGTGCTTTTCTTTAAGTTCTGGAAAGACCTGCATCCCTGTTACACACTGGTATCTCTAACTCTTCACATGGTGCCAGACAGAGGACAGTGGTTTGCAATGGCTCACTGGCTCAGGAGCAGGTGTTCTGTAGGCTGTGGTGGAACTGCAATTCCAGGAGCTCAACAGTTCCTGGTGTTTCTGCTGCTGTGCTCCTGATCCCATCCTGGTCACAAGATTGCAGAGTCAGGAGTGAGAGTGGATAGCTTCTGGACCTGTCTCAAATCGGGATGTATGTGACTTTGGTTCACATCACCTTTTTGCTTGGGCTTGGTGCAAGCTGGTGGTCGTAACTGGCTGTTTATGCAGCTCCAGGAGATGGAAGGCTAACGGTAGTGTGTGATTATAACACAGGAACCACGACTGAAACTTTCACTGCTCCCCTCCCCACGCAAGTCCCCATGAAAAGCGTCCTAGCTGTTGTGGGATGAAAGGTCCAATTTACACACCGTGGCCTGTACATACTCAAGGAAGGCCAAGGAGATATAATGCTAGCATTTATTGAACACTAATTGTATGCCAGCTTCTGAACAGGTGCACTATCTAGGTTTCTCATTTGATCCCAAATCAAACCATTATATAGACAGCAGAGGGTAGCCAAGCCTGGAGTCAGATGCTGACTTCTGATCCAGCTGATTACTTTGTGCCTCACTTCTCATCTACAGTCAGAGTTTTTACTTTGGGGGGAGGGTTGTGTTGGTTCACGTCAATTGATTGTCAGTAGTGCTGGAGAGGGACAGTGGCTCCCAGGGGCTTCTGGAGTCAGAAGAAACAAGGCCAGGCTTCAATCACAGCTGCCCCTTCTTTCATGGGTTTTCTGCTGTCTATCCCTGGCTTTGTGAATGTGGAGAGAGCCCCTGGGTGTTTTTCTGCTTCTCAGGTTGAAGGCCTCCAGGATCAAGGAGCAGCTCGTGTCCGAAGAACATCTACCTCCCACTTGACCTTAGTGGTGACCAGACTCAGCAGAGACTCCAGCAGCTGAGCCCTTCATTGTGACAGTGACTACACTACAATCTTCTTGCTGAACTGCTAATAAAGAGACAAGCTATTTAACAACTCTCCCTGGCCTTGCTGTGGATGCTTTCATTCACCCACTCATTCATTCATTCATTCATTCATCAAAATGCTGGGTGCATCACAGTCCTGCCTCTGGAATCACATGGCTGATGGCTTGTAGGGGAGAAGACAGGTCATTCCAAAGCTCTGTGTAATGAGGCCAATGCTGGTGATTCTGAATGTTTGAAGTGGGCTGGTGTGGGTGGGACAGGGAGGACTTCCTCAGGGAAGTGTGGCCGGTGCATTTCTGTTTGCTTTGCACTGTTTATTCCTTCTCTTGCATCTTCCTTTATGCAGATTGATGTTTCTGACTTTTATCCTTCTTCTCTCTGAAGAATGTTAAATAGCTCCTGAAATGCATGTCTGCTCATGATAACGTCCTTCAGTTTTTAATTGTCTGAGGATGTCCTTATTTTTTCAGTTTGGAGGGATAATTCTGCAGGATTCTGAATTCTAAGTTGACTATTTTTTTTTAATGTTTAAATATTTCACTCTTATTTTGCTTGCCTGGTTTCTCAGTGAGCTTGGGTGCGATTTGTATCCTTGCTCCTCTATAGCAGGTATTTTTCCCTACCCTGTCTTTCAATATTGTTTCTTTGTGTTTGATTTCCTGCAGTTTGAATATGATAGGACTAGGCAAAGATTTTCTAGAATTTCTTCTGCTTGGTGTTTTCTGAGTTACCTGGACCTGTTATGTGGCATCTGTCATAAAATTTAGAAAATTCTCTGCTACTGTTACTTTAAATATTTGCATTCATTTCTCTATTATCCCTCTGGTATTCTCATTACACACATAACTTTTGTAATTGGCCCACAGTTACTTGGAACTTCTGTTCCTCTTCTGTTTTTTCTCTTTGTTTTTTAGTTTGGATATTTTCTATTCGTGTTTCTTGTGTTGAACTCAGGGTCTCATGTATAGTAAGCACATCCTCTACCACTAAGCCACATCCTGCAGCCCTTACTGCTATTTCTCGAAGCTCACTGATTGTTTTTTTCAGCCTTGTCCAGTCTACTGATAAGCCCTTCAAAGACATTCCTTGCTTCGGTATAGTGATTTTTTTTCTGGAACTTCCTTCAGAGTGTTTTTTAGACACTCTATCTCTGCCTATACCACCCATCTACTCTTGCCTGCTTTCCACTTTTCCTGTTAGTACTGTTGGCATATTTATCAGTTGTTTTAAATTCCAGCCTATCACCACATCTGAGTCTGGTTCTGATGCTTGTTGTGTTTTTTTCCCTTTTAGTATGTCTTGTAAAGGAGAACTATAAACTCCTGAAGAAAAAGATTAAGGAAGATTACAGAAGGTGGAGAGATCTCCCATGCTCATGGATTGTTAGAATCAACATAGTAAAAATGGCTATACTACCAAAAGCAATCTACACATTTAATGCAATTCCCATCAAAATCTCAATGACATTCATCAAAGAGATTGAAAACTCTACCCTAAAATTCACTTGGAAACACAAGAGACCACGAATAGCCAAGGCAATACTCAGCAAAAAGAACAATGCTGGAGGTATCACAATACCTGACTTCAAACTATATTACAAAGCCATAGCAATAAAAACAGCATGGTACTGGCACAAAAACAGACATGAAGACCAGTAGAACAGAATAGAGGACCTGGATATGAAGCCACACAACTATACCCACCTTATCTTTGACAAAGATGACAAAAATATATGATGGAGAAAAGACTGCCTCTTCAACAAACGTTGCTGGGAAAAGTGATTATCTGTCTGCAAGAAACTGAAACTGGATCCATGTTTTTCACCCTGTACTAGTATCAACTCAAAATGGATCAAGGACCTTAATATCAGACCTGAAATTCTGAAGTTAGTACAGGAAATAGCAGGAAACACTGTGGAAATAATAGGTATAGGCAAGGACTTCCTCAATAGAACCCCAGCAGCTCAGCAACTAAGAGAAAGAATAGACAAATGGGACTTCATAAAGCTAAAAAGCTTCTGCTTATCAAAAGAAATTGTCTCTAAACTGAAGAGACCACCCACAGAGTGGGAGAAAATATTTGCCAGCTACACATCAGACAAAGGACTGATAATCAGAATATATAGGGAACTTAAAAAACTAAATTCTCCCAAAACTAAAATAAAGAAATGGGCAACTGAACTAAACAGAACTTTCTCAAAAGAAGAAATTCAAATGGCCAAAAAACACATGAAAAAATGCTCACCATCTCTAGCCATAAAGGCAATGCAAATAAAACACACTAAGATTCCACCTCACCCCTGTTAGAATAACCATCATCAAAAACACCACTAACAACAGGTGTTGGTGAAGATGTGGGGATAAAGGAACACTTTTACACTGCTGGTGGGAATGTAAGTTAGTGAAACCACTCTGGAAAAAAATTTGGAGGTTTCTTAAAAATCTAAACGTAAATCTGCAATATGATCCAGCAATCCCACTCCTGGGGATATACCCAAAGGAATGTGACACAGGTTCCACCAGAGGCACTTGCACACCCATGTTTATTGCAGCACTATTCACAATAGCCAAGTTATTGAAAAGCCAAGATGCCCCACCACTAACGAATAGATTAAGAAAATGTATCTATACACAATGGAATTTTACTCAGCCATGAAGAAGCATGAAATCTTATCATTCGAAAGTAAACGGATGAAACTGGAGAACATCATCCTAAGTGAGGTTAGCCAGGCTCAGAAGACCAAAAATCATGTTCTCCCTCATATGCGGACTTTAGATCTAGGGCAAACACAGCAATGTGATTGGGCTTTGGTCACATGATAAGGTGAGAGCACACAAGGGAGGTATGAGGATAAGTAAGAAACCCAAAAAACATGGTAGTATTTGATGTCCTCAATGCAGAAGAACTAATGCAGAAACTTTAAAGTAACAGAGGCCAATAGGAGAAGGGGACCAGGAACTAGCGAAAAGGTCAGTTCGAGAAGAATCAACTTAGAATGTAACACATTTGTACATGGAAGCAATGCTAGGAATCTCTCTGTATAGCTATCCTTATCTCAACCAGCAAAAACACTTTGTCCTTCTTATTATTGTTTATACTCTCTCTCCAACAACATTAGAGATAAGGGCAGAAGAGATTCTGCCTGGAAGTGAGGGGTAGGGAGGGAGAAATGACCCAAACATTGTATGCACATATGAATAAATGAAAAGAAGAAAAAGAAGAAAGTGCTAAGTAAGTAAAAAAAAAAAAGTATGCCTGTAAGTCTTGATGAAAGGCAGCCCTAGTGTATCACGTAAAGGAACTGAGAACCACAGGCTTTCAGGACCAGCTGTAGTTGTAAATGTGACTAGTTAAGATCTTGTTTTTGTATCCTCATTATCTTTAGATTTTCCTAGAGACTCCTTAAATAAAATCTGGGGCTTGCATTTTTTCTAGCTGGTTATTGTGGTGTGGGGGGGTGGGGAAGCATTCCAGAGCACAGCACATCTTTTTCTCACATTTTTATCAGTACATATTAATTGTACAATGTTGGGGGTTTCATTGTGATGCTTCCTGGTAGAGCCCTGGTGGTAAAATTTATGAGTGTTGGTCACTATGACTGAGCCTCTTGGAATTTCAAGCCAAGCTTGTCCACACTCAGCCAGCCATCTTCAGCTCCAGGCTGCTCTAGTGGAGGCTTCAGTTCCTGCACTTTTGCTCCAGAAAGTTGTGACACTGAACCCACCTTTTTGTCTCTCCAGTTCTCAGGTCTGAGGTTTGCCCTGTGAGCTCAGTTTTCTAATGGATCCAAGAAGAGTTGGT